CTTCCCTGCCCTGGTGAAGTCGTGTGGCCATGTGACATTTTGCGCCAATCAAATGTGAGAAGCAATGTGTGTCACATCTGGGTGGAAGCATTTAAGAGCGATGCATGGGCCCTGGCCAGTTGGCTCAGTGGTAGAGCATTGGCCCATGGACCGATGAGTCGCGGGTTCGATTCTGGCCAAGGACATGTACCTCGGTTGTGGTTCGTCCCCGGCCCTGGTTGGAGTCGTGTGGGAGGCAACCAGTTAATGTGTCCCTCTCACATCGATGTTTCTCTCTCTCTTCCTTTCTCTCCCTCCCACTCTATCTGAAGATAAATAGAAAAATATCCGCTCGGGTGAGGATTTAAAACAACAACAATAACACATAAGAGCGATGCATGGTTCTGCCAAGCTTTCCTTCTCTGTTGCAGCAAACCCTCTAGAGCCTGTGTCTGAATAACAATGTCCTAAAATGGCAGCTCCTTCATCAGCCTAGAAACCTAAGTGACTCCAGTGAGCAGAGCCCCCCTAATAAGCCCATGGTGGACTTGTTGCATAAGCAAGAAGTAAATCTTAGTAAGCCACTAAAGATTGGGGGTTGTTACCACAGCATAACGGTACACACAGTTTTGCTTAGAGAATCCATAGTACCTTAATAATTCCCAAGGTGCTAATAATTAGCCAGTGACGGAGTAAGAAACTTAACGAACTCAAAACTGGGAACTCTGTGCTCCCCCTTCTCTTAGGAGAGCTAATGATGGCCGCAATTCGCTGGGAACTCGTTCCAGGCAACTCTGGATCTGTTTGACAGTAAGTAACTCCCACGTTCTCAGAATTTTTCTGGGCTGGGTAGCTCTATAAAAATCTGTCTCCCCAGAGGCTATTTCAGTGTTGCTACTTGTTCAAAAACATTCAGCCAAACAAACGTTCCTTTAAAAAGCTGGCCATCTAACCACAAGGCAGAACTGGAGCAGCATTTTGAGGCTGACTTTCAGGTACCCGCTCCAAACGAAAGGAAGGACATTCCTCCCAAGGCGGCATCTTGTTCCTTGGTAACTCGGGCTGCATGTCTGCTGTGGGCTTCCATGGTTACGAAGACATCTGGTCTCCACGATTCTCGTGATCCTCGCTCCGTTACCATGGCCACAACACACGGTTTGAACAAACATTTCTGACCTCATCTGGGTCTCACATTTGAAAAGTAAGACATTTGGAGAATGGATTCATTTTGTAACATTAAAAGCAATCAAAGGGTTTAGAATTTTGAAGTATTGTGATCAAATGAGCACAATCCACACCCTAGGAACCTCATTTTTCCACCCACAGGAAAAAGAATGACTGCTTAAAAAATCATTTAGACCACTGTTGAGGTTTCAATATAGAGTATAGCTTAAATAATAGTATTGTATAGATGACAAAGTTCCTGATTTTTGATATAATGGTATTGTGGATAATGTCCTTGTTCTTAAGAAATACATCCTGAAAGGTTGACGCCGTGGTTGCAGCGGGAAAAGAAAGAAAGAAAGAAAGGAAAGAAAGAAAGGAAAGAAAGAAAGAAAGAAAGAAAGAAAGAAAGAAAGAAAGAAAGAAAGAAAGAAAGAAAGAAAGAAAGAAAGACATCCTGAGGTATTTAGGGGTGAAGGGTTGTGATGTTTGCAACTAACTCAAACTGTTAGTAAAAAATAATGAAATAAAGAGAAGGGACAGCAAATATAGTAAAACATTAACAACTGGAAAACCTCGGTGAATGGCCAAAAAGTTCATTCTACTATTCTTATAACTATTCTGTAGACTTGAGATTTTTCAAAATAAAAAGTTTTTTTAAATCAGGCATGCTCCAGATTAGTGACTTTCAACCTTTTTTAATGCTAACCCACAATAAAATATAGACTGTATTAAGCAATCCAGACACATACATATATAATCTGAACAAATGCATACAAATTAAATAAAAAGTTTCACAAAACAATACTTACTCTTATAATATTACACATGATGCTCTGTGACTTTTGCATTCTATCTTATTGTTTTAATTATTATTATTATTGTTATTATTTTAATCCTCACCCAAGGATATTTCTCCACTGACTTTTTAGATAGAGTGGAAGGGAGGAAGGGAGAGAGAGAAACATTGATGTGAGAGAGACACATTGATTAGTTGCCTCCAACCAGGGCCAGTAATCGGACCTGCAATCCAGGTACATGCCCTTGAATGGGAATCCAACCCGAGACCCTTCGGTCCATGAGTTGACATTCTAACCACTCAGCAACACTGGCCAGGACCTATCTTGTTTTTTTAAATGCTGGTTATGAATCATTAAATTAAGTGACCACTAATGGTCACAACCTGTTTGAACACTCCTGCCCTCAGTGGTGCTTTCTGCAACATTTCTAATATTTAATATTACCTAGAGACACAAAAGAAGTACTGTCACCATGAAGAACTGACAATTCGATGTACCTCGAATCTGTATGGACTTTGAAAACCCACCTCCTTTCATAGCAACAGTAGGAAATATATTTCCCGTTGGCCTAAAAAATGAAATTATGGAGCCCTGGCCAGTTTGGCTCAGCAGTTAGAGCATCGGCCTGCGGTCCAGAGAGACCCGGGTTCGGTTCCCGCTAAGGGCGCGTACCTCGGTTGCAGTTTGTCCCCGGCCCTGGTTGGTTGTGCGGGTGGCAGTCACTCGATGTGTCCCTTCACATCGATGTTTCTCTCTCTGTCTCTTTCTCTCCCTCCTACTCTATCTGTACAAAAAAAAAAATGAAATTATGGAGCCCTGACTGGTTTGGCTCAGCGGTTGGAGTGTCAGCCTGCGGACCAGAGAGTCCTGGGTTCGGTTCCCACTAGGGGCACGTACCAAAAAAAAAAAATGAAATTAGGGAGCACACAGGAGTCACATCTATAGTAATTTTTTAAAAGTTTTCTTAAGGAAAAGTTGGATGGAAGAAACACACCTTGAATTTCTTTATGCAATACTTATAACACTTCCTGTTCCTTGGGTTAGCAGAAATTAAAAATATATATAGCCCAGCCGGTGTGGCTCAGTGGTTGAGCATCGACCCATGCACTAAGAGGTCGCTGGTTCGATTCCAAATCAGGGCACATGCCCAGGTTGTGGGCCGGATCCCCAGTGGGGGCATGCAGGAGGCAGCCAATCGATGTTCTCTCTCATCGATGTTTCTATCTCTCTCTCCCTCTCCCTTCCTCTCTCTCTAAAAATCAATAAAGAAAAAAAATTTTAATATATATAAATGTATATATACACATACATACTTTAGTAGGGTATATAGACAATTGTCTATGCAGTTTTGAGCACCCATTTGTTGTGCAAATATAGAAATTTGTAATAGGTGCTTCCCTTTCTAAAATATGTATGATGTCTTCTAATTTGTCTGGGTGATATCTTACTAAAAATTTCTTTAAAGATTAAAATAAAGAAAAAGATAAAAGAAAACCTACCTCTTCAAATTCAGAGAGAGGAATTCAGGACATTAAGATTAGAGATTTCAAAAAAAAAAAAAAGGTTAGAGATTTCCAGAATGCTGACAAATGCAGACACAATTAGCTGTGTATAGAGAACAGCTTGAGCAAGGATTTAGCAGACATACAGTACATCTTTTGCTCTGACACTCAGGCCTGGGGACTTACAGTTGGCCAACTCTCTCCCTGGGAAATATCTCAGCCCCTCACCCCTTCCCAGGTACTGGCTGCCTCCTTTCCTCTTGGCCATTAGTCAGCCGCAAAGGGTGCAGCCCATAATCATTTCCACAGCTAATAGGATCATCCAACCTGGAGACTCCTCGCCCTGGTAATATAGCATTTCTGTGTCTTCTGAACACTCTTCCCACAAAACACTAAGAAATGATTTTGTGGCCTCCCCAGAGATTCACAGCGCATGTTTGTATATGAAAGACCCTGAAAAGTCCTGCAGTAGAAAAACCTGTTAACTTTTTTTTAATCTTAGGATTTTACAAATTTGTTTGTCCACAGCCCTGAGTGTTGGCCTGCGGTCCAGAAAGACCAGGGTTCGGTTCCCGCTAAGGGCACGTACCTCGGTTGCGGTTTGTCCCCGGCCCTGGTTGGTCATGCGGATGGCAGCCACTCGATGTGTCCCTTTCACGTCAATCTCTCTCTCTCTCTCTTTCTGTCTCTCTTCCTCTCTCTCCCTCCCATTCTATCTGAACAAAAAATGGAAAACTGTTCTCGAGTGAGGATAAAAAAGAAATTGGTTTGTCCACAGATGCTTTCCTCTTCTTCTTTTCCCTACCCTGCCCTAAAGTTCATTTCTGCCTAAGGCCACCCCTGGGAATAACTGTGGAGCAAATAAAATAGATCTTTTTTTATTTTTTATTTTATTTTTTTATTTTTTATTTTATTCTTTTAAGGATTTTAACATGTATTTTTAGAGAGAGAGAGAAAGGGGGGGGAGAGAGAGAGAGAGAAACAACCATGTGAGAGCAAGACATCAATCAGCTGCTTCCTGCATGCCCGCACTGGGGATCTAGCCCACAACCCTTTGGTGTACAGGAGGACACCCAACCAACCGAACTACACTGGCCAGGGCTGGATCTTTGTCTTGACCACCTCCTAACACATCTCAGACTCCAGGAACCACCACCATGCCCTTAGGTCTAAGTCCTTCTTCCATCCCCCTTCTCCCCTGTCCTGTCGTCTTCCTAGCCCTAGTGTCCCCAGGCTCAGGGATAAAAGTATTGTAGTAGAAAACAAAGGGATTGGGCCTCATGGGGTTGCCTCATCAGGAGAATTGGCACAGTTCTTAATAATACTTAGCCAATGGACTGACTAATTCAGGCATTACAGTCTGTTTCCTGGAAGATGGGGAATGAGGGTAGGGATGAAGGTGGAGGACTTAGGAGCTTCCAATCCCTAGCCTTTTGATGGGAGGGTCCATATTCATTCTTGATTCTCTTTTCCGATTGATATCCATGTGATATGAGCAGAAATCCATGCCCCACCCCTAACCCCCCAGGTGATATTTCCCAGGGTTGTCCTCTTCCTAGGGCCATCTCTAGAGGCAAACTCTTCCTTCCATCTCCGCTGGAATCTCACCACCTCCTCCCATCCTGTTTCCCTCTCCCCCTACCACAAACACCTTCAAGCCCAATTAAGTAAATTATCCTTCATCGGCCAAGGGCATGGTTCCCGGCAGTGTGGGCCACCCCCGTGTGGCAGGGTCAGTATGTCTGTAGGAAAAACACCGCATGCTGGGCCACGCTGAGCAGGAGACTAGAACCGAGGAGAAACAGGGTGCTGTGGCTTGAGCCTCCCACCCCAACTGAGGGAAGGCTGTCGGACAGCGAGGCATTGACTGGCCCCTCGGTGGTGTTGGCCGCCTCCTCCACTGGGGCCCTAGGGGCCAGCAGCTTGGACAGGAGGCTGCTGAACCTGCTCACGGTGGTGGCCGCTGGCTCTGGGGACGGGCCCGGGCTGGACACGGTGAAGTTCAGCTCCTCGGGGTCCACACAGAGGCCATCGGAGGAGCGCCCAAAGGCCACCTGGCTGATGTCCAGGCCAGCCACGGAACCAGGGGAGGCACACGGCACATCGGCAACGTGCCCAGAGCTCTCCATCCAGTCCCGCAGCCACTCCAGGCTGCAGTCACAGCGCCACGGGTTGCGGAAGAGAAACAGGCGGCCCAGGAAGAAGCCAGGCTGGAAGGCGGCCCAGGTGAGCACGGTGAGCTGGTTGCCATTGAGGTGCAAGGCGAGGAGGCCCGAGAGGTTCTGAAAGGCGCCCTCCTCCACGAAGGCGATGCTGTTGCGATCCAGGTAGAGCAGCTCGAGCTCGGCCAGGCTGGCGAACCAGGTGCGCGCCACGCGGCCCAGGGCGTTGCCGCCCAGGTTGAGCGTGTGCAGGCGGCGCAGGCCGCGGAAGGCATCGGCGGGCAGCTCGGCCAGCAGGTTGTCGTTGAGCAGTAGGTGCTCCAGGGCACCGCAGTCGCGGAAGGCGCCGGCGTGCACGGTGCGGACGCGGTTGGCCTGGAGGCTGAGCGAGCGCAGGCGCCGCAGGCCCTGCAGGGAGCTGGCCGCCACGGCCTCGATGCGGCTGCGCTCCAGGTGCGCATGCGTCAGGTTGGCCAGGCCGCGCAGCGCGCCGGGAACGCGGCGGAACAGGTTGTCGAAGGCGGCGAGCTCGCGCAGCGCGGGCAGCTCGGCCAGGAGGCGCTCGGGGACGCTGAGCAGGCGGCAGGCCGCCAGGTCGAGGCGCCGCAGGCGGCCCAGCGCGGCGAAGGTGCGCGCGTGCAGATAGCGCAGGTCGCCGTTGTGTGCCAGGCGCAGCTCGGCCAGGCGCGGCAGGCCCTTGAAGGCGCCAGGCGTGATGAAGGACAGATTGTTGTGGCGCAGCGACAGGCGGCGCAGAGACGGCAGCGTGCCGAAGGCCCGCTCGCCCAGGAAGCGCAGGCCGTTCCGGTCCAGGTCGATGGAGGCCACCGCGCACGGGAACTCGGCCGGCACCCGCAGGAGGCCGGCGCGGTCGCAGCGCACGGAGCAGCCGCGGTCCGCGCTGCCGCAGGAGCAGGCCTCGGGGCAGGTGCGCGTGCAGGCCTCCTCTGCCCGGGCGCTGTGCAGGCCGAGGACCACCACTGGGGCAGGATTTGGGAAGGGGTAGAAAAGACAAAACAATGAACGACTGTGAACCAGAGGGTCACTGCAGCTAAAATTCTGTGTGCGTGGCAGGATGCAGCCCTCCACCAAGTTCTCATCCCTCCTGCAGAGCCGCATCATCCAAATGGTCTCTTTTCCATCCTAGATCTTGCACAGGATTCCCCACCCCTTTGCATCCCAGTTATCTTTTTTTTTTTCTTTATTGATTTTTATGGCGTGATAGAAACATGGATGAGAGAGAACATTGATTGGCCGCCTCCTGCACGCTCCCCACTGGGGACTGGGCCCACCACCTGGGCATGTGCCCTGACCGGGAATGGAACCAGCGACCTCTCGGTGCATGGGTTGATGCTCAACCACTGAGCCACACGGGCAGGGCGCATCCCAGTTATCTTTTTTTTTTTTTTTTATCCTCACCCGAGGACATTTTTTCAATGTTCAGATAGAGTGGGAGGGAGAGAGAGGAAGAAAGAGAGAGAGAAACATCAACGTGAAAGGGACACATCGAGTGGCTGCCACTCACTCGATCCAACCAGGGCCGGGGACAAACTGCAACCGAGGTACGTGCCCTTAGCGTGAAAGGAACAGGGGTCTCTCCAGACTGCAGGCTGACGCTCTAACTGCTGAGTCAAACCGGCCAGGGCCATCCCAGTTATCTTAATCAGCAAAACCCAGCTGGGATTCCAGCATCTGACCCCATTCTAAACCCTCGCCTGCCTATATCATCACTTGTGCTCTCCTAGAATTTAACCCAGAGGGTGTGTTGTCTGCATGTGCAGGGGGCCTGGAAGACATCACCATGGCCCACACTCTAGGCCTATACTGCCCAGTCTCACCACATGTGGCTCTCAAGCACTTGAAATGTGGCTAGCCGGAATTGAGATGTACTGTAAGTGTAAAATACAGACCAGATCTTAAGATTAATACCAAAAAAAGGTAAAATATCAATTTTTATATTGATTATGTGTTAAAATATTTTAGATATATTGGGTTAACTAAAATATTAAAATTAATGTCAACGGTTTCATTTTACCTTTTTAATGGGGCTACTTGGAAATTTAAACATATGTGGCTTGCATTATATTTCTATTGATGCTGCACTAGTAGTCCCTCCCACCATATGAATTCAATTTCTGAAAACTCCCGTTGAGTAAATTAAGCCTCATGAAGAAGGGAGAATTAGAGAACAGGAGGTTGGAAATGAAAGAAAATCATATCACCATTTTTTTTTTCTTTAACAGCACTAAAATTAAGCCATAAGGACAGCATACTAAACAAACTATCAGTGACCATTCACACTGCAAAAGAATAATTGTGGCCCTGGTCAGTGTGGCTCAGCTGCTTGAGCATGTGTCCCATGCACAGAGAGGTTTGATTCCCAGTCAGGGCACATGCCTGGGTTTCGTGTTTCGGGGTTCGATTCCCAGTAGGGGGCATGCAGGAGGCATCCGATCAGTGTTTCTCACATCGATATTTCTCTCTCTCTCTTAGATGTTTCTAATTGTAAACACTGTACAGTTAATTTCCATTCACCAACCTTTATTCTTTAGAGTCTAGAGACATTTTTACATCATCATGGGTAAGGATGGTACTTGCAAATCAATGTTTTTCTGAGCATTTGAATGGAGGATCAGAAAGACTTCAAAAGTCCTCCAAGTAGAATTACCACCTGCAGCAAAACAAAATGGCATGGCCTGTTTCCTAGTGATAGCCAGAGGTCCTAAGCCCCATCTTGAGTTCCAATGGAAAAGGCAGCCTGGAAGATGCAGTAGTTTTATTTTCCAGTCAGAAGCAGGTCACAGGTAGAGTGAATGTGATCTGAAGTACTCCTAAATTCCTAGCTAACACTATAGGCCTGCCATTCTGTCCCTCCCACCGTGTACCCTGCCTAGCCTATCCAAGCCCTCGAGGGAACCCGAAGGTGTGGCCACACATGGAGTGTGCAGGCTAGGCTCGCTGCTGCCTCGGTAGGTTTGCTCAGCTTCCAGTGTCTTTTCAGTACCTCAGTTTGTGGACACTCCATGTTTTTGCAGCTGCTGGGAAGGGGATTCAGACCTTTCAGACATGGCAGGAGAATACTCGGCCCTTTGAGCAACCCTTCAGTTGTAAATTGTAGCTAGTTCAGTATTCTTATTGCAGAGGCTTGACTTGGCTTATCTCTGTCCCTAAGAACTATACTCAAGTTTACAGCAAGGTTCTTGGACCCTGTACTGAGTTTGGCTGTAAACAGGGCAGCTGCTGACCTGGAGAGATACCATGTTAGAGAGACAGGGCCAAGAATATAACCTTAAGTCCTGGTGTCAGCTGGACAAAGGCGGAACTTTTTTTTTTTATCGACTCTTCTTCCAGTTGGGTCAAGTAGAAGGTATCAGATTTCTTTACAAATAGTCCTTAATTCTACTCTCTTCTTCTTTCTAATTAACAGAAGTGCACTCTCAACCATATGACTCATGTTTCTGTTCCACAATAGCTAACATTGTTCTGGGCACACTGTATGGCTCCATAAATGTTTACAGAATTAAATGAAATTGATGCCTTCCTCTGTAATGATTCCTGCTGGAGGATGTCATTTATTTATTCTTTTAAAATATATTTGTATTGCTTTTTTAGAGAGAGAAGGGAGAGAGAGATAAAAACATCGATGTGAGCGAAACATCAATCGGCTGCCTCCTGCACGCCCCCTACTGGGGATCGAGCCTGCAACCCAGGTATGTGCTCTGACTGGGAATCGAAAGGGGACCTCACAGTCTCCATGGGATGACACTCAATCCACTGAACCACACTGGCTGGGCTATTTATTTATGTTTTCAAAAACTCTTTGTCAAAGAATTCATGGGATTCTGACATATGGAATACAACCAATTTGCTTGATTATGTAAGAGATAAAAAATGTAGCTGCCAGTTTAAATTTTTTTTCTTTGATTTTAGATAGAGAGGAAGGAAGAGAGAGAGAGATAGAAACATCAGTGAGAGAGAACATGGATTGGTCGCCTCCTGCATGCCCCCCACTAGGGATTTGGCCCACAACCTGGGCATGTGTCCTGATGGGGAATCAAACTGGTAACCTCTTGGTGCGTGGGTCGATGCTCAACCACTGAGCCACACCAGTGGGGCGGCTGCCAGTTTTTAGAAAACATGCCAGAGGAATGAGTATTTTTACTGTATATACTTTTTAAAAATAATTCTCACCTGAGGATATTTTTCTGTTTATCTTCAGACAGAGTGGGAGGGAGAGAGAGAGAAACATCGACATGAGAGGGACACATCAACTGGTTGCCTCCTGCACGACCCAACCAGGGCCAGGGATGAATTGCAATCGAGGTACGTGCCCTTGGCTGGAATCAAACCCACGACTCATTGTTCCACGGCCTGATGCTCTACCGCTGAACCAAACTGGCCAGGGCTATTGTATATACTTTTTACCTTTCAGAGTTTGAACCATGTCAATGTAATGCCTATTTCAGAACATAGACTAAAGTTTATTTTAAACTTTAAACATTCAAGATGTTATCACCATTAGAGACCTATTTTCAACCTTTGAAACTTTTTTTTTCAATCCTCACCTGAGGGTATTTTTCTATTTATTTTCAGACATAGTGAGAGGGAGCGAGAGAGAGAGAAACATTGATGTGAGAGACACATTGATTGGTTGCCTCCCGTACGACCCTGACCAGGGTGGAGTACTGAACTACAACCAAGGCACATGCCCTTGACTGGAATCAAACCCAAGACTCTCAGGTCCACAGGCCAATACTCCAACCACTGAGCCAAATTGGCCAGGGCCAGCCTTTGAAACTTTGATAGGCATAAGGAATAACTAATTTACTGGATTATTTAGTGAAATTTAAATTAAATCAAGTAAATTCTCAGACAACCAAATGCCAGTGTTGGCTTACCCAATATAAAGACTAACTACGTGCCTAATAACCCAGAGAAGATGGCACAAAATTTTTTTTAATAATAATAATAACATATTTGGGTGAGTTCTGCTTGCAATAAATGGCAGAGTAATTTGTATCAGACTAATATTCTTGCAGATAGCTAGTGTAAACTGTGGGAAAAAGTACTTTTTTCTTTTTTTAATTGATTTTAGAGAGAAGGGGGAGAGAGAGAAACGTCGATGTGAGAGAGAAATATCAATTGGTTGCCTCCCACACATGCCCCAACCAGGGATAGAACCTACAACCTGGGTATATGCCCTGACCGGGAATTGAAGGATGCTCCAACCAAATGAACCACACCAACTAGGGTGAAAAAAAATATTTAAAAAAAAATTGTTTGGAGGCACTGGGAAGCAACCTAAAGAGGCAACCAGAGTAGATACAACTCTTAAAAGAAGAGAAGCAAACTAGGCGAGAGCTACATTTAACTGGCTTTTCCTCTCAGGGTGTTTTCAAGTCCACACTGCACACAGGGAATAGACCTCAAGCAGAAAGCAAGAGTCTTATTGGGCTGAGAGTTAAAGGTCAAAGTGTTCAGCTGCCACAGTGGCTGGACATTGAACAGGGAAAACATGGAAAAGAGGGAGACACAAAATTGGCATACAGACTACCCTTGAATCCCTGTTTGGAGTCCTAAAGTGCATATCATGCGTGTGGGGTGACTCCAAGGAGTCAAGAACTAAAGGCCAAAATAGCTAAACAGAGATTTCAGTAATTTCCTAGTTATGGGAGACAGATTAAGAGTTCAAGGTCCACGTAGTTAGAAGAGTTTGTAAAAATACCTGGAGCTTTCCATTGAAACCAGAAAGGGTCACGCTTTAGGAGTGAAGACCATTTGCAGGACAGAGGGCAAAACTAAATTAGACCTACCCTCGCAAAGCCTAAAACTAAGCCTTCCTCTGTTAAGGTGATCTGCCAATGATTTAATTAAATGCCAGAACAAAATTCAGTACTCTTCAAAGGAAGATAAGAGAATCTAGAGTTTCTATAACTACCACCTATGATAGCCAGTATTCAAATAATACTAGATAGGTGAA